GCGACTGATCTGCCTCGTTTGGGAAGAGAGCAATGATGGTGCCAACTTGGGCCAGTGAAGCAACGTCCTGCACAACTAGACTGAAGAACAAGAGAACAGCAACTTGTCTGTTCCCCTTCCCCTAATTCCCCAGCGCTGTTCCCATCCCCCAATTCCCCAATAAAATATTTTTTAAAAATCCTCTTCTGGGGCCGGCCGAGTGGCTCAGTTGGTTAAGAGCTCGCTCAAGAGTTTGAGCTCTGAGCAACAGCGGTTCGAGTCCAGCCCAAGCTGAGCAGCCGCTGAGCTGCCAACAGGTAGCAGGATGGCTCAGCTTAAAAAAAATAATAATAATAAAATAAAATAAAATAAAATAAAAATCCTCTTCTGCTTGCTGAATTGCCCAATATGGTAGAGGCCATGGCTAAACATGCATATTCTGAAGCTTGGGTTCAAATCAAGACTCCGCCACTGTGGCCTCAGATACGTCAGCTGTGAAATGCTGTTCATCACAGTATCTAACTTTATATGACTGTCGGAAGGATTAAATAAATGAACATATTTGGAAAAGCACTTAGAACAATGTTAGCAAAATAAGTGTATTGGTTGTTATTATTATTTTCTAGTGTTAATCACTCTGTGGCCCTGTGGCAGTTAAGATACTCAGGAAACATGCTAAAGGTGAAGCCAGATGATGTTGTACATGTAATAGTAGCCACTGTTTTTACCTGTGGGCATAAACCACTAGTGAGCAGAGGAAACAGCCAAACGGACATGACGTTCAACCTTACGCCAGGGCACGACAGAAGGAAGGTCCAAGTCCCCACCACCACTCACTGCCCTTGCAAATGAAATTAGGAAACACAACTCTCTCCAAGGAGAAGTAGTGCTTCGCTAGACTGCTCAATACCTAAGTGTAAAGCAAAAGCATCTCCAAGGTCCTCCAACAAAGCCATGGGACTAACCAGAGATGCAGTGTGCTTAATAAGGAAAAATTTTAGAATTGTAAAGGCATCTGCAAAGTGCCTTACAGGAACTTCAAGGGTGGAGTAGTCTCCATAATCTATCAATCTACCTCATGCCCTTGCTTGTTCAGTATTATGAAACTACTATTATAACAAGCTTGAAATATATGCATATCTCAAATCAGTGACATAGGTGACTGCCTAAAGGCTATGAAATAGATGAAGCGCAGGAAGAAAAAAAAATGGTTACTTACTTCATATTTATACTTCTCACCAGATTTAGCCTTTTTCAATCTTTCCAGAGCTTCCTGGCGTCCTTTCTTTGATTTCTTTTCTCGCCGGGATCGAGAGACTGCAAAACTTCCTGAATCTGACACAGCTGGAAAAAAAGCCAAATTTACATAAAGATGTTAAGAAATTGTCAGCCATCTTCCCTCAAAAACAGAGGAACTTTTTTTTTCCTCCAAAAAGAGGAAAATACCAAATTCGACGAACTGATATCTCCAAGAGACACTGGAGAAGGGAGATCAGCCGTTAGTCCATAATCTTCCCATTAGAAATGAGGGGCCTTAAGTAGAGTTATAAAAGGACAATTCAGTTTGTATTCTATTAATCAACATTTGAGAGGCTTTCAGGAGCACCTCCTCTTTGCAAAGCACCAGGTGCTCTGAGAGACACAAAGATCAGAAAGATATGGTCCCAATACTCAGAGAACTTAAAATCTAAAATGTGACAAAAGTAGCAACTAACTCTAACTTTATTCTTCAGAAGTAATGCATGCATGCCCTCACAGAGGTTCAGATAAAGTATCTGAGATTTCAAAGGAAGGATAAACTGGGGTGTTGGGAGAATTTAACAAAGATGGTTCTGAGGAGATTCTTGATTCCTTCACTGATTTCCAGGCCTCGCTCAGTTGGTTATGACATTAAAGGATGATAGCAAAAAGTCACGAAGGTTAAAATGTGTTTTGTCGAAAATTACTGAAATATCAGAGGGCCTCGGTGTTCACTCATTTAACTTTTGAATTATTCAGGCTTTGGTCATTATAAACTGACTACCTCACACACATACTGAAAAGATTTCATCCACAGAATTAAGATCTTGACATACCAGTTGATGAATAACCAAGTCAAGTGACACAGTGCTGCCTGCCAGCCATGAGTTTAGGCTCAGCATGACTGCCTTCTATGTCTGTGAAATGGAGTATTTTATTGTATTTGGTGATAATTATTTTATAAAGTGGAGTAGGCACAGTAAAAGAAAAGTATTGATAAAAGGCATCCTAAAAGCTCCAACCCACTGGAAAATTCATAACAACATTAAGCTGTTTGATTAAGTGTTTCACTGAAATAGAAGATGCAATTTAAAGAACATGTACCAGATGCTGGCAGTAACTGTTGAAAACTATGTCTTAAAATTGGAGACCTTATTTCTTCTAGCTTCCTGGAAATTGAATCTTTCTTTATAACATCTCTGTCTATTGTTTGACTTTCACATTTGACTTTTAAATCCATTTTCAGAAAGGCATTAAGTAAAAATTAAGGAATGTAGGTACTTGGTGATGACAGCCACAAAACCCTGGTGTCACTCAAATGATTTCGAAAAATCATGAGCAGGCCTACATGAAAAGGTTTTGGAGATTACTGAATATGGCCACTGGGAGGGAAAAGCTGGCTTCAGTGTTTTCCTTTTAAGACTCCTTTAGATTAGACCGACAAAATCTATAGGTCTTCAAATGGACTTACTCCACAGGAAATAATGTGCCACTCTACAATTACAAGAAAGACAGAGTTGCCTGTCCTCACGGGGCTTAAAGTCAAGCAAAGGAAAGCACCTGAGGCTCCCACCATCATATAAACAGGATGCCATATGAGGTAAGAACACAATAGTGAGGAAACGAAGTGAAGAAATGAGAGCTGTTAATTTTGCCTGGGAAATCAGGAAAGGCTTCACAGGAAAGGTTTCCAACACAGACCCAGGAAGGGGAGTAGAATTTCACAGTACAGGGTAAAAGGTGGCACAAATAGAGGAAAAGGTATGAGTCAGAATACAAAATGACAGAAAGGCAAGGTGTATTCAGAAACTGAGAGGAAGTCAGCGTGGAAGGTAAAATATGAGAGTGCAGAATGAGGGCGAGAATGAGAGGTTAGGGAGAAGCAGCACAAGCCAACTGTGCCATGTACTGGGTGACCCAGAGCCCATGTCCCACTACAGAAGCTGAAAAGGGAGATGCTCTTTCCCAGACACCCTCACAGCTAGGGCATGGGCATATAAAACAGGCTCTGCCAGTTAGGAACACCTGCTCAGACTTGAAGTCGGAAGCCAGTGTCACAAGGAAAGGGGGTGAGCTAAGGGAAGATTATAGAAGTAGCAACAGTTGCCAGTTACCTGGGGCAACAATGTTAACTACAGCTGTAACCTCAAGCTACGATGTTAACAAGCTATAACCTCAATCAAGTACTGGGCTAAGCAGCCACCGAGTGGCTCTCCAGTCCTCCTGGAGTTTCTGTGAACAACACAATTTCCTTCTAATAAATTCCTTTTTTGTTTAAATCAGCTAGAGTTGGTTCCTATAGCTATAGGATCTTCAAGGTCCTCATCTATGAAATGGGGATAATGTCTGCTTCATCAAGTTGTTAAGGGTTAAATGAAGATACTTGGCTTACTCTGTACTCAGCAACATAAGAGAAGCTAATTTAATGTGTGTGTAGATGCAGAGTACGTACACACACACACACACACACACACACACACACACACACCTAGTAGTACTGTGGTCTAGCTCCTAGAAAGCAAAAATAAAGCAACGCAGTTTTCTCAGGGAAGCATCAATATAACACTGCATATAATTAGGTGTTTACAATCCTAACGCCATGAAGACAAAAAGTTATGTCCAGCTTACTTACCTTTGTAACACGAGAGCCTGGCAGAATGCCTATGCCTAGCAGGTACCTAATAAATATTTGCTGAGTGAACAAATGAATGAACCACTCACTATACCTGCTTTATTTAATCATTAAATTCTCCCTGGTCCCTTTTCATATATAATGACAGCAAGTTATAATAAGACCTTTCAACTTTTCACTGCCACTGTCAAGTTACCCCACCTTCTAATACTTGAGGAAAAATGGCCTAGGTTTTCCTTTTTTTGGAATATGTTTCTAATGCTTCACGTAGGTTAAGTTAGCAAAAAAGAATAAGCATGAAAAAATCAAGTTACAAAAGTTTAAATACTCGGTTCAAATACTGGTCAGGAGCTGGAAAGGAGCAGCCCAACACTACTAGCCTGCAACAGTGTTTCAGGTAACAAACTTTCAGTCTGCTCTAAAGAAAAATATTCCAGTCACAAGTCCCCAGCAACACTTAATCAACACCATGACTTAAGAGGGGTCTCAAGATTGCACGGTATCCTCCAAAGAGTGATTTCTAATGTTCACAGATGTCATGCAGTTTTTAGGGTGAAGAAACGGCTTAGTGGCAAATCACTGATGTAGGGCTAGGGCTGCAAAGGATGTTCACATACTCACATCCTACATCCCATTTGTAATCCAGGCTAGTCGATTCTCCAAAATAAATTGTCTTAAAAAACGCAAGGCTAGAAGAACAAATTGAAATCTCTGATTCACAACTAGTGAATGCAAAAGAAGCTGATTAGGAAGCAAGCTCTCATTAATGGTGATGTATTTGAGTGACAGGAAATGTGACGCTTGAGCTAAGAAAGCGATTTTAAGTTAGAAGTTTGATGAAGTCACACTTTAGTTGAACGCTATTCAAAAAATCAGAAATCAGACAAAGCCATTTCTGTTTTTGTTTCTATTTTTGGAAATAAAAGATTACCACTGAAAACGGAGTGATACAGGGCATCCAAAATGCTGAACTGATGTATTTTTTAAAAGCTTCACCAGAGATGACTAGATTGTGAACACTATTTCTATGCAGTACTTGAAGAACTTTCCATATAATTTGAAAGAAAAATTGTTAATGCAGAAAGTAGAAACCAAGTACCTAAAAAGACAAACTGCAAAAAATAAAAATAAAAAAAAACAAACTGCATTTGTATCTTCTGGTTACAGCACTTGAGCTTTCTATTCTGCTTAGTTATGACATAAAACAAATTTCCTGGGCGTTTCTATAAAAGGGATGGCGTACTTCTGTTCTGTCCTAGCCCTCAAGCGCATACCTGGGGCGGCAACATAAAATACTTTCGGCCAAAACTGTGCCCCGCGGGGGCCAGTCTCGATATAGGTGTGCCCAGCACCTGGGACGCGACTCGCCAAAAGGAATATAAAGAAAGGCAGGCTAGAGTGGAGATCCAGAGTGACAGAGGTGAGGCAAGCGTCCCAAACAAAAAGCCCCGCAGTGGGGTTGCCAGGAGCAAAGGGCCCTGCAAGGAAGCCCCATCTGACGCCAGTACGTCCCAGCTCGGGAAGACCAAGGTCCGCGCCCAAGAAGACCCGCGGGGCGATTCGGGAGCGCGTCTAAGAAAAATTAAAACAGAGACCCACCCTCGAGCCCCCACCACCTGCAATCACTCCACAGTTCCCGCATGCCCAACCCGACCCCGAGCACCCCCAGCTCACAGTCATCTCCATGCACCGGCGCCATGGCCCCGGAGTCTCCCAATTCCGCGCCAAACCAGCCCGAAACTAGGGCGGGGGCCGAGACAGGCGCCAGCCTGAAAACCAATCAGCGGCTCCCGAGGCTTCGGACTTCCGTCCGGAAGGTCACTGACGTGCAGCCCGCGCCGTGCCGTGCCCCTCCCCCAGCCTTCCCGTGGCCACGTGTTTGGCGCCCTGTGATTAACCCTAAGGGAAAAGCACCAGCGGAGCTGAGGCTGAAGGGAACAGGAAAAAGAGGCGGTTGGGCCCTGGAAAGGAACCCCCTGGAGACTCGCTGCGCAGGCGCACCTATGCTGATGGAAAAGATTTGGGTGCGTTGGAGTAGGGGCTCTCTAGTTCTGAGGTGATTTGCTGGGAAAAGAGATGCTGGCTGGCAGTAGGGTCGCGTGGCTGGACCGGTTTCCCAGGACCCTGGGTAAGCAACTGTATCCTGCTGTACAGTCTGAGCCTGGCCTGATGGTTATTGTTTCTCAGAGTGTGGATACAGTTGCTGTGTCCTCTTTAGGCCTATACGGGCCTAAAAAATGTATACACATTTTAAGAAATAAAAAACTATTAAAATTGTAAAACTCAATACATACCAATAACAAAAGATGAATACAAGTCACGTTTGACTTCTGCAATGACAAGAGGTGCTCAAAGTAGTTACCATCAGCGTAATTTTAATAGATTTTTTTCATTTCTTAAAACATGTATACATTTTTTTGGCACCCTCTGTATATACATGTATACCAGGGGTGCAAAAAAAAGTACACACATTTTAAGAGATGTTATCTATGTTCAAGCAGTAGTTCGCCGCAATCAGAAGTGTCTGGACACTGATGGTAACTACTTTGAGCACCTCTTGTAATTGCAGAAGTCAAACGTGACTTGTATTCATCTTTTGTTATTGGTATGTATTGAGTTTTACAATTTTAATACAGTTTTTTCTTTCTTAAAATGTGTATACAATGTGGCAGGATGGTCCAGCTAGTGAGAGCACCTGCTCCTAACAACAATGTTCCTGGTTCGACTCCAGCAGGGGATGCTGGGCTACGCCCACCTGCAACTAAGATTGAACAGAGCTCCTTGAGCTGAGCTGCCGCAAGCTGCCCACGGTAGGCCAGATGGTGACTGGACTTGAAGCTGAGCTAGCTGCGCCCTCCACAACTAAGACTGAAAGACAACAACTTGGCTATTCCCCTTCCCTAATTCCCCAATAAAATCTTTTTAAAAATATGTATACATTTTTTGGCACCCTCTGTGTAAACACAAACACACACACACACACACACACACGCACATGCACACACTGACCACATAAAGGTATATGTACCACATTAACCAAATAACCAAAAGGAGCATCACCAATCAATAAGGGGCAATTATATGCCTCTTGATGTGATGCACTTGGAAAAAAGAACATCACCTATACAGTCTTCTTGCAAAATATGTTTAACCTGAACCTACCCATGAAGAAATAATAAGATGTATTCAAGGCGTAGGACTGTCTATAAAACATCTGGCCCAGACTCCTGCAAAACGTCAATGTTATAAAAGACAAAAAGGGGTGTTAGATTCTTGTATATAGCATGCAATGTATGCATCTCATTTATTGTTTAATAAACAATATGAACAGAGACATCTGCATGTATAGCTTAACTGAAGAACACTTACTAAACCAAGAACTTAAAATGAGAAACATTTTTGAGTACCATTTTATGTAGAATTAATTTTAGCCATGGAAGCCAATGCATCTGAGCCCTTTTCTCAAACCCATTAGTGTATAAGGCTCTTGGCTCCATCCCCCTAGAGAGCAATGTTAGATCCATGCCCTCAAGTGCTTCATCATGAATTATAGACCAATGGGCAAATCTTTTGTGATAACTGAGCCATGGATCATAGCATAAATA